TACAAATAATTACCTTCTTGGACACATGTGCATTTTCAATGAAATAGTCCATCCAGATCATAGCAAACATTTATGTATCATTTTTCTGATGAAATTGCATCTTTTGCTATTTCATTTGGGCTTTTTGTTTTCTAAGCAGACACAGTGCCACATTGCACACAAGCTCCTTCATGTGCTATTTCACTCAGCAAATTCCCTATCAACAGAATCACTGCATACTCTTTTACGGCCAGCTTTCTTCACTCAACAGTGTCTCTACGAGAGTCACCTGTGATTCATCTTAATTTGTTCATTTTCTTTTTTGTATAGCATTCCATTCCATAAATACTGCGCAGCAGTGGCGTGGAGCCGAGGCGCAGAGCCATCTGCCCCGAATGCAGGCAGGAAGGAGCGCACCCGCCGCGGGGAATTTAGAGGCAGTGGGACCAGCTTAGCGTCGATCTGCTTTGCACCGTCGTGCCCTGGCAGTTCCCACCACCGCCAGCACTGAACCGCCGCTCCTGCTCGGGCGGCGGTGGCCGGCTCCGCCTCCCTGCGCCTCAGTTCCCCGTCCGTCCCGCGCGTGGCCGGAATCCGGGGTGTTTCCAGGGCCGGGCCAGTATGAAGTGGTGCCTACCAGGTTCGCACACTTTTTCATGAACATATCACAACCCGTCCCTGTAAGGATGTGCGCGCGCGCGCGCGCGCGCACACACACACACACACACACGCACGCACACACACGCACGCGCACACACACACGGCGCGGGGGCGGGGGTGGAATTGCTCGCTCTAGAACAGGCTCATTTTCCGCTTCCAGGGACACTGCCAGTTCCCGGCAGCGGGCGCGCCGACTTGCCGGTTCAGGAGCGGCGCCCGGGCGTTCCCGTCGCTTCACGTCCTCACCGGTGCTCGGTATCATTTGCATTTTGTATTGGAGCCATTCTACTGAGGATATAATGGTATGTATGCCCAGTGGGATTTTAATATGTACTTCTCTGAAGACTAATGAAAGTAAGCAGCTTTTCATGTTTTGTTTTGAAGTGCTCATTCTAGGCTTTTGTTCATTTTTCTATTGTGTTGTCTTCAGTACATTTTAGAAACTCTAAATAATTTTAAAATATATACTGCAATTACTTTCTTCCTTTGACTTGCCTTAATTTACTCCCTTGTGATGCCTTTTGATGAACAGAAACCTGATCTCATTGCTACATAGTATCCGTTGCCTGAATATCCTACAATAACGGCAAACCACGAAGTTACACAAAGATTTATTCTTTTTCTTACTCTAGGGGTCTTGATGACAGTCACCTGTGCTACCTTCGAAACGATCCAGTCTTATCTGTTACATTTTTTTATTGTGGTAAAATATACATGATATGAACCGTTCCGTGTGTGCAATTCTGCGGAATCGAGTACATTCCCCACGCTGTGCAGCCGTCTCACCAGCCACCTCCAGAACCTTTTCATCACCCCGAACAGACACATGGTCCCTGCGACACACCAACCCCCATCTCGCCCTCCCCCCAACCCCTGGTAACCTCTCTGCTACCTTTCATCTCTGTGAATGGGTCTTTTTTCTCTATTAATTCTAGGTACCTCATACAAGTGGAATCACGTATTACTTGTCCTTTGATGTCTCGCTTCTTCTACTTAGCGTGATGTGTCGAGGTTCATCCATGTTGCAGCATGTATCAGAATTTCATTCCTTTTTATGGCTGAATACTCTGCTGTTGTATGTATAGATTTTTTTTCTGTTCATCTGTGGATGGGCACCTGGGTTGCTTCCACTTCTTAGCTACCGTAACGCCGGGGTGCATGTGGGTGACCGGCACCCGAGTCCTTGCTTTCACTTCTTTTGGGTGCAGCAAATTCCGGAGAAGCCCCCTCCCGTGCTTCCATTCTTGTCTTGTTCTCTCCTCTCCCTCTCTACCCAGAGGCAACCAATCACTTTAATGGAATAGTATAATTTTCCTACAATATATGGCAATAAATTTTTAATATACTGAACAGGACATATTATTTTGCAACTTAAGTCCTTTCAAGATTCATTTATGTGGCTGCAGGTGGCTTCTGGTTTAACTGCCACACAGCGTTCGTTGCACACATGTGCCATAATCTAATCATCTCCCTACCGATGGCCATTTAGCTTCTCTCTCAATTTTCTGGTATCCCGTATCAAACTGCCCTTGTACTTGCCTCCTTGTGCACATGAGCGAGTTGATCTGAAGTACATCCTGAGAAATGAAGTTTGGGGCTGCGGGCTGTACGAATTCCCAATTTTGTTAGCATCTGCCGGATTGCTCTCTAAAGCGGTTTTATTAGCGCATCCCTCCAGCGATATGCAGAATTTGTGTGGACCTTGCTTACCAGGTCTCTCTTCTGTGGAATGCCTGTCCATGTCCTTTGCCTAGTTTTCAGTGGATTATATGCTCAATGCTAGTCCTTGTTTTATGCTGTTTGTGTTTCTTGGTCTTTCTACTCTATCACCTTTTCTTCTGTTTTATGGTATTTTTACATTTTTTGACATAGGCAAACTTCCTTATGGTTAAAATTTTGTCAAAAATGCTCTCCTATTTTCTTTTGAAGAATATGGCCCTTCAGTGGATGGGCTTGGATCACTTTGGAGGCTTGGGCCCTCCACCCCGCCCTGTGCCCCTCCTTTCCCAGACTAAGTCCCGCGGTGAAGGCTGGGTTCAGCACCTCCTGTATTGGTAACAGCATCGTACGTACATACTGATGCTTACACAGGCGCTAACTTGCTAACGGAGTGGATCCGCCTGTGCGTGGTATGCGCATAACCTTGGCTGACACGCTGCCACCACGGCCTACCGCTCCCCTGGGCCGCTTTGCGCTTTGCTACTGGCCTGCAAGTCTTTTCTAGGTTCTTGCCAGCAGGGTGTGCTGCCAGGAGCGCCCTCAACCAGGCTTCCTGGGCTTTTCTAGTCCAAGCCTCAGAATAGAATTGGTGGGTTAGCCCCAAGCCAGTGGCTGCATCCCCTGTAGTGGGAACAGCCTGGTGCTGAGCAGACTCTTTGCATGTAGGATACCAGGCCAGGGCATCTATGATCTTGCAGACCCCAAATCACGGAGCTTAGGGACCTCCTGCCTGCACAGTCTCAGGGCTGTCTGTAGTTCTCAGGAGCGTGGGAGTTGGGGGGGAAATTCCAAAAGGCTGCAGCTTTCTCAGAAAGCAGAAAATTAGAGGCTCACCGGCCCTTCCCTGTGCCTGGATCTGGTGGGGCCGGCGTAGTCAGAACCCACTCACATGGGACCAAGAAGAAAGGCCAGCCCAGCCAGAGAACCTCCGAGAGGCCGCTATGCAGCCTCACGCCTGCTTCTCCATCTGACAAATGTCACCCATGAGAAGTCCCATTTGAACCTCACGACTCAGTTCTGCATCCTTTTTTCAGAACATGCAATGCTATCATGTAGGGTTTTAGAAATTAGTTCCTCAATCTCTCCATACATAGGCCAAAATAAAGTGTACTGTGTTCATTGCCCACAATAGGGATTATCTGAAAACACGCTTAGCCAGGTGGCCAGTTCATCTGCCAGCCTCCACGATGAGGAGGACAAACGCGGTCGGCGGACTGTCCCCGTCCGAGCCTTCATTCACTGCACGATGGCCCTGCCCCAGGCCCGGACTGGCAGCACGTTTCTTGCCCACCATTGTTAAATGTCCAAGACGACTTTCAACATCGTCTTCTGCTACAGAAGCCTGGGTCACAAGCTTCTTGGGTTTCACCAGGTGTGTTGGCGCTTAAGGGGCAACATCACGGAAAACAACACACTGGTCATTCCCAAAAACGTCGGCTGGGATTTCCTTGCAAATGACCTTCCCGAAGATTGTCGCCACCAGGCCGAGCAGCCTGAGCCTCAGTGACCTCATCTGCATCCCAGCCTCCCGACCGCCACTCACTGCCCATTGTCCCCACGGTGGTCCATGCCTGCCGGTCTCCCGCACAGGCCCGGGAGCTCCCAGGACTCAGGACCGAGCCAGGCGAGGCCGGGCGGGGTTGCGGGGGAGTTGGTGCTGGCACATCTCCTTGTGCGGGGAGGGGCAGGGCAAGACATGCCCTCAGCCCCTGGCCAAGAAAGGAGTCACCTGAGTGGTCCACAGTAAGAAAATGCTGTCCCTGAGAAAACTTGGAGAGACCTCTTGATGCCTGTGGGAACACCAGGGTATGTGGTGAGGGGCTCTCCCGGACTGTCCTGCCCCAGGCGGAGCGCCCGCGGAGAAGACTCCCACGGCAGGAGCCTCCCAGCCAGGCCCACCCCGTGGAGTGACCTTGCTAGCCAGATCCAGGGGGCCTGGCCGCGCAGACAGTAGGGCCTGTGGCGCAATGGAGACAGGGCCCTGCCCCGTCAGGCCCGTAAGTGGAGCAGCGTGGGACCGGTGGAGCTGTGGCCCAAAGACGGGGTGGAAGGTGCGAAGGGGCCAGGCAGGTGAACGGGATCCCAGCTCGGGGCCTCCACTGGCAGAGGGAGAACCCCTCCCCGACTCCCACAGCTCAGGGCCAACCCTGGTCCCCCCCAGCCCCTCACCTGGCGGAAGGAGTGGGCGTGTGCACACAGAAGACGAATCTGGCCCTGGTGGGAGAAACCTGCCCCGAGTGATGGCACAAGGTTGGCATGGGGACTCGGCAGCATGGACTGCGCCTTACAGACCGAGGGCCCCCGCGACAGCCCACTTCAGGTGAAAAGTTTCTCAGGCCCCCGTTACCACATGACTTTTATTTGTGAAGCCTCGGGCACAGCCCAGACACAGAACACAAAGGGGAAAGCACGGGGCATGGCGAGGCAGCGAAGGAGGCGGCAGGCACGCGAGCCCATCCAGTCCCCGCGCTGCTCCCGCCGGGCCCTCTGAGAGCTCTGAGAGGGAGCTCAGGCAGCAGCGGGCCCTGCCCCTGCCCCCGCCCCCACCCCCCACCCCGGCTGGAGAACAGGGTTGTGCCTCTCCAGGCACCCCTCCAGTGTGGCCTCAGGCCAGCCACAGACATCTCGGCGGCCAGGGGACGGCCCCACTGGGTCCACAGCCAGCGCCATCCAGGCATCGCCTGCTCCAGGACCCCCTGGTGTCTGCCCACTGGCTTCTTGTCCTGTCCACATGGCAGGGGCACCAGGGTCTTGCCCTCTGCGGACGCCCATGGCCCTGCAGCGGCGGTCTCTGCCTCTCATGCTGAGGGCTCAGCACAGCAGGGGTCCACGGTGGGGACTGTGGTGGCTGCAGGACCAGGGCTCGGTCACAGGAAGCAGAAGCAGGTTGGGATGCAGCCCAACCACAAGGGGAAGTTGGGGGAGGGGGAACGACAGCCAATGGACAGCAGCGCCCCAGGCTTTGATGTGACCTAGGAAGCCAAGGAAGGCAAAGAGGGTGGGAACAGCCATGCCAGCGCCTGAGGTCCAGATCAGCACGGCGCCCTCAGATGGCCGTGAATTTAATGGCAGAGCGGCTCACAGCCCGCAGCCCTTTCGCCTGGGGCCGCCTCCCCGCCAGAGAACCCGGGCTGGCCCAGCAGGGAGACGTTACCTAACCCAGACCTGACAGGAAGCACACACCGGCACGCACACCACACCGACACACATACTCGGGGGACCAGCATGACACATGTGACAAAGACCCTCCATGCCTCTGGCCAGAGTCCTTCCTCCGAGTCCCTTCCCAAATCACTGGTCCAGGCTGAGGGTCGGGGAGGCGCCGCTTCGTGCGCAGGTCTAGACCTTGTGCAGCGTCTGCAGCAGACTGTGGCGGGCGAAGGAGCAGGACTCCAGGGCGCCGTTGGGCCTGTGGGGAAAGGGGCTCAGTGAGCAGCAGCAGCGCAGGGACCACTTTGGAGACTTGAAATATTCCAGAACCCGCTTTTCGAATTTTCACAATGACTTTTCAAAGGAGATGCACATGCTGGTGGGGGTGGCACTTCCTTCCTCCTCTGCACCCCACCCCCGCCTTCTCCCAGGGCTCTGGGTTCACCGGAAGTGAGGCGGGTCACAGCCCCTGGAGACAACTCTGGCCAACCTCTTGGTTGGGCAAATTGGGAGACGGAGGCCTGAGGCAGGCTGGTCTGCTGGGGCCGCACAGGGCCTCTGTGAGGACCCTCCAGGGCAAGGACAAGGCTCCCACATCTCTGTCCCCAGGGCAGGGCCTGTGGCTGCGGAGGCCAGCGGGGCTGGGCGCCTGGGCCTAGGTCGCTGTGGCAATGGACACAGAAGTGGTGCCAGGGACGTTGCCGAGCACGGGTCCCTGATCAGTACTGTGATGTGGGCAAACTCCTCACTGACCTCGGTTTCCTCGTCTGGACAATGTGGGATGTAGCCTGTCCTCTGTCTCACAGAGAAGGGCTCTGAGTCCTGGGCACAGGGGAGGAGGCCTGACAGGTGTGGTGGCCACACAGGAGTAGTGGCACCTAATCACGGATGCCAAGAGCCTGGGAGACCCAGGGGCCTCTCACAAGCCCGGGTGGCCAGGCCAGAGGAGTCTCAGCAGACCACGGCAGCTGGCGCAGGCCACTCACTTGGTCACGAACGCCAGCAGCAGCGGGGCGAGGGCCTTGGGGAAGTAGTCCTGCTGCACCACATGGTTCAGCGTCATCAGGGGGCCGTACAGGTTGGCAATGGCCTTGACCTTGTCTTCACTCTGCAAGGGGAGCACACCGAGCAGAAGGTGAGCTTCAAGGTCCCCTGGGGGATCGTAGGTCTCCACCGTCCAGCCCCTGCTCAGACAGCGCCATGGCCAAGGACAAGCAGAGTCCCATCAGGAAAACCAAGGCTGTTTTGGCAGAGCCAGGCCCAGGACAGCATGGGTGACAGGTCCCAGCAGGACTCCTGTGGGAGGGGCAGGCGGACACAGCCAGCAGACCTGCAGCGCCCCCCCACCGCCCCGCCAGCGCCCCCCGCCCCGCCCGCTTCCAGCCGCACCTTGAGCAGACCCATGTGGATGAGGAGCCTGGTGAGGAAGGCGTTGGAGTTGAAGGAGGATGAGCTGAAGGCCTTCTTCATCAAGGCGTCTGCGGGATGGAAGCAGCATGGGGCAGGCGCTCAGTGCACCAAAGGGCGGGCCACGGGCCACAGGGCAGGCGGCAGGCCGCCCCCCGCAGGCTGGGTCCTGCCTCCTGCGCTATTCAGGATGTGAACACAGGAGACGGGACATGGACAGGTACCAGGCCGAGGGGACAGCTAGTACCAGGGAAAGGGCTCGGCTGTGACACCCGACCCTTCCCTGTCCTGGCCTCTTAAGAAAAATGGGCTCGGGGACCTGGCACAGCTGGGGCGGAGGTTAAGTGAGGCAGGTGGCCCCCGTCAGCCTCCTGTGGAGGTGAGGGAGCATGAACAGGGACGAGCGTGGCCGGGGCCTGCAGGGACCGCTGCGGCCCTCGCTTCTGTGCTGGGCTGTCCTGGGGAACGATTCAGGGGACTGGCTCTCACCAGTGCCCAGGGGGCTGGGACCTCCCTCAGGGAGCAGAGCCGGAGACTCCCACCTGGCCCTCCCCTGCCCGCCCCGCCTTGCTTCCAGCGGGTCCTCCTGCCTCAGCGCCCGCAGTGTGCCCAGGAGCAAGCACTGCACGCGGTCCCACTTTCTCCCCACTTCCCCACGCTGTGCCGCTCACCCATGGGCCCTTCCTCTCCGCTGCCAGGAGGACCTGGCCCACCCGTGGAGGCTCAGACATACACGGACAAGGTGGAAGATCAGTGGAGGTAACGGAGAACGAGGTGGGGAGAGGAAGTCAGGACAGGGCTTGGGATGCGGGGAGGGGGACCAGAGCTCCCAGAAAGCCTGGTGAAAGATACAGGGAAAGCAGGGGGCCTCCGGGTGGAGAGGACCCCGTGTGCGGAGATTTGGAGGTGGAGACAGAAGCTCCCTTTGCCTCACCTCTCCCCTGAGAGGATGGCCTCCACAAGGGCCTTGGGCTGTGACTAGCTGGTCCTCCCGTGGTGAACGCCACCCAGCCTGAGTTCTAAGGCACATAGCTGTGTGACTCCGGGAAGGACCTCAGTTTCCTCATTTATGAAAAACCAGAAAGGAGAGCACCCAGTGAGAACCCAACAGAGAACAGGCAGGAGGGGCCAGAGAGCAGCTCCTCCGTGAGCGCAGGAGCCATCTGAGTCCCGCAGCCAACCTTACCTGCTGCATCGTGTACTGCCGTCCTCACTGCGGCTTCGTCCTTGAATACAGAGGACACCTTCAGGAAGGCGGAGACCACCTTCTCTGGGTCAGATGTGTCAGTCTGAGGACACAGGCGACAACGGCTGGTCAGCAGGGGCCGGAGCCCCAGGGCTTTGACACACAGAGGGGACGCGCCCGGGCTCTGTGGCTGCCTCAGAGAGCTCTGGTAAGACGTGGGCCTCTACTGGGCAAGGACAGGTCCCACCTCGCCCCACGCCGCCCCTCAGAGCCTGGCCTGGCCCTGGTCACGCAAGCGTGCAGCACGTAAAGGGACACCTGGCAGCACCCCCACCCACTGATAGCCTCCCCTGCCAGTCCCGTGCTCTGCTTGTCCCTCTCTCCGACAGCTCGGCAGACGCAGGCGCGAGGTCGGAAGCGCTCACACCTGCTGGGCGATCAGCACGGAACTCTTGGGCCCCAGGCGCAGCAGCTTCTCCGGAGACGGGAAAGCCAGGAAGGTGGCGATGTCCGCGGGAGGCAGGGAGGACAGCCCGGGAGCTGGCTCCTGCGGGACGGGCGGCACAGGCAGTGCTGTCAGAGGCCCGGACCCAGACTCCTCGCCCAGAACACCTGCCAGTCGCTGCTCCGTCTACAATCTTCCTCCCGCTCAGGTGCGGTTCCCCAAAGGGTGGGGCCCCAACACTGGCCGAGCCACCTCCCTAGGACTTCAAGAGCCGGGCAAGACCACGTGGGCCTATGTCATGACATACGGTGATGACTCAAAAGGCACGTGGGGACTAAAGCGGACGCACCAGGAACTGGCATCTAGCCCCAATACGCACTGCTAGGAGCCCCAACGGTGCCCAGAGGAAAACGGAACACTGAAAAATGCTATTTGTTGCAATGCTTCCATAACTGGAAAAGCCAAATTCAGCAAGAATAGAGGGGGTCCTTGTCCAACCCAAAAAGCTTTATCTGGGAGCCTGGGCAGGAACAGGAATGAATGATAGGACAGGGCAGGCCTGACTCCGCCAGCCTCCTGGCCAGGGAAGAGGCACCAGGTGCCAGGCTGGGCCATGGTCCCAGTCGCTCTGTGGGGCAGGCGGCGGTCCCTGCAGATAAGCAAGATAACCCACTCACAGGTGGGAAAAAGAATTTCTATTAATGCTTATTTTTTTACTCTATTCTTTTAGAAGTACTTATGTCTTATGTATAACATAGCAACGTTACATGTTACTATTTCTAAATGAACACATCTACACTGAGTTCAATACAAAGAGGGCAAAAATAGTCTGGGGCCACTGTGTTTAAATGGATCCCACCGCTACCACGGGGCCCCATGAAGATGTTGGGGCCGTGTGGTTGGGGACTGGGTTCTGATCCTTGCAAATGACAGAACTCACCCCACTGTTAGGGTCCAGAATCTTCCTTGATGGTGTGGCTGGCTCCTCTCCCTGCCCTTCCTGCTGTGGCTCTTCTTCTTCCTCTTCTTCTTCTTCCTCCTCCTCCTCATCTTCCTCCTCCTCTTCTTCCTCATCTTCTCCTTCCTCCTCCTCGTCCTCCTCGTCGTCATCCTCACCCTCATCGTCACTGCAGAAAGGAACTGGCTAAAGCAGACCCTCCCTGCCCAGCGGCCCATGTCGGCTGAGGCCTGGCTCTGTGAACCCACAGACCCCGCTGGGCAGCTGTTCCCAGGGTGGGAACAAGTGGGTCATGAAGGAGCCCGTCACTCACACCTCACCCCCCGGAGAAGCCCGTGCCAAGAACCAGATCTTGTCCCTGTCACTGAAGAGCCCCAAACCCACTGGGGGCATCTAGAGCAGGAAGAGGATGGCCGTGGGGACCCCGGGTCTGGCAGGAATACTGCCCAGGCTGTGACGTCCAGGGCTGTGTGCCCACATCTCGCTGGCCACGGGAAGCTGCAGCTAGGGCGGGGGAGTGGTGGGGGTTTTCCTGTCCCCTGAGGAAGGCTGTTCTGCTATTTCCCCTGGACCCTGGGCCTCCTGAGCCCGTCTTCAGGTCCCCAGCTCCTGGCGCAGCACAGGCTCCAGCAGTGAGGGCCAGAGCCAAGGCCCTGACTCGCAAAAAAAAAAAAAGCCAACGGAGATGGGCGGGGCCAAGGGAGACAGGCACTACCTATTGGAGGCGGTGGCCCCACCCCCGCCTCCAGTGGGCTCTGGGCACCCAGGACCCCCTCCCCCACAGCTGTCCCTTCCTTTCTAGAGCTGGCCTCTGAGGCTGACATTATGAACAACTCAGCCCACCCCCGTCATGGCCCTGACCTCGCTGCTGGCTCCCCAGCCTCACCTGTCAGCACCAGCTCAGCTCTTACGCTCCCCCCAACTCCCCCGCTCTCCAGGGGACCACGGCCCCCAGCCTGCCTTTGTCCCCCCCGCTGAACCTACAATTATTTGACAATTCTTGACCCCTCACCCCACTAGAATGAAGTTCCACAAGCCAGCAACCTTCACTGCCTCCGTCGCGCATCCCCCATGCCCAGCACAGCGCCGGCCACTTAGCAGAGTGGCAGGGACTCAACCAACGTACAAATGAGTCACTAGCCGCCCACAGTTCCCTACCTGAGGGACGCCAGCACCTTGGCCATGTTGAAGCCGTCTAGCACCTCCTGGAGCTGCTCACAGCCTTCTTCCCCCAGGGCGTTGCCTGCTCGGTGGGAGGGGGTCAGGGTCAGGGGTCAGGACAGGCACTGGGCCCACCCAGCAGGCCAGTGCTGGGGCCACCCCCCATTTCCCATTTACCATTGAGGTCCAGTTTCTCCAGCTCGGCCTTGTCTGCCACGGCCTCAGCCACGGCCAGGGCAGCATCTCTCTTGATTTCACAGAACGACAAGTTCAGCTCCTGAAAAGAAGAGGAAGGGGAGGTGGTGGGCAGAAACGTGGGCCACTGGACCAGGTCCTACTCTGAAGCCTCATTTCCCTAAGGAAGGGTGAGGTGGGCTCTGCCCTCCAGATGGGCAGAATGACACCAACAATAAAAATGTCATTTACCCAGTGGTGAGCCAGGTGCTCGATATCTTCACTTACACTCAGTATGGTGATAGTGACCTACGTTCCTCCCCTCTTCCCACTGTAAACATGGAGGAACTGCAGCTCAGAGAGACGAGGGGGCTGGACAATGGCACAAGGGAGGACGTGGAAGAACCCAGGCCCACGTGGCCCTGAAGACCAGACCCTCTGCTATCCGCCCGCCCCTCCCGCCCCCCATCACGTGCAGGGGACCCTGCACCCCACAGACACCTTCAGCTTGGGCAGGCCCCCGCGGACGGCATCTGCAATGGCCACAGCGCCCTTGGAGCGCACCAGGCAGTCCCCGAAGTTGATCACCTCCACCTGCCGCAAGGTCTTCAGGGTCTGCAAGGAGGGGGGCGCAGGGTGAGGAGACCAGCCTCCCCCGGCCCCCAAGAGCCAGGGCCGCACCTTGTCCTCTTCTGTGTCCAGTCTGGCCTTCTCAGCTCTTCTCGCCACCTCCCTGCTGGCCCCGTGGCCTCTAGCTAAATCCCCTCCTCCCTGTTTCCCCGTTACAGCCAGAACCCTGTTCCTGAAGCACAAATCTGACCATGTCGCACCCCTGCTTCAAACCCTCCATGGCTCCGTCTTCCTTCCAGGAAAACGTCTCAAGGGCTCAGCAAGGCCACAAGGTCTTGCCTCCCTCCCTCCCTCTCCTCCAGCCCTTAAACACACTCCGAGCCCCAGTTATTCCAAACCAGGACCAACTGAGCAAGGCTTCCTCCGATTTCTGGGCCAGACTTCCTGTTGCTGATCCCTGTGCCTAAAACACCCCTTCTACCCTCTTTGTCCCAACAAAGTCCACTGGCCAAAATGTGACCTCGTCATTCTGGAAGCCTGCCTGAGTCCAATTTAAACTTCCCGTGTGCGCCCAACTGCGCGCACACCTCTGCTAACACTGAGCAGCAGCAGGACCAGCTTCCCGTGGGGCCGTGGAGCCCTCACACATAGAAGACCCAGCCAGTCACGGTGCTCGTGGCCCTGCATCGTCACCGAGCAGCCGTTCCCTTCCTCCTAGAAACAGGAGCTTTTTGAAGGTTGTGTCTGACTCAACTCTGTGTGGCCTGTGACTGGCACAGGGCTGGGCACTACACAGGGGCTCAACAAACAAAATCAACGAAGGAAGCTATTAGGCCTTACATGCAGCCTCTGGGAGCAAAACCAGCACCGACTGCGGGGGCTACACGGAGGCAGCTCAGGAGGAAGGCGTGCGGACACTCGGAGTGGCCTACGACGGGCGCAGGCTAGCTCCCGACACGCGCTCTACTCTGGGCACGTTTACACAGCTGGACCCCGGGGGTACACACCACGTGGCCAGGGAGGGGAACAGAGTGGCCACCTGCTGACGGGTTCCTTGCAAAGGCAGCAGCCGGACCCTGCCACCGGGGCCCAACTGGGCCCTGCCGAACCCGCCTTACCTTGGCCATGGCCACCGCGCCCTTCTCAGTGAAGGTGTTGTCATTCAGGTTGATGACCCGCAGCAAAGGGTTGATGGCAAAAGCCTGGGCCAGGGCAGTGATGCCGGGGTGATTGATCCCATTCTGTGGCATGTGGACCTCCTCCAGAGTCCCGATGATCTGCGAGGGGCAGGAGGGAGAGGGCAGGGAGGTGGGTGACCGTGACACCCAGCAGATGGGGGCGGGGACACACTACACGCAGATGTGGGGCGGGGCTGCTGTCCGCACAGGCAGGGGCTTGTCTGTGAATGTTCTGGGCAGACCAGATCTCAAAGTGTGCTTTTCAGCATGGCCGCATCTGAGCCTCTCCACAGCCTCATGAGGGAGACCGCCCAGGATTAGGATCTCCTCCTAACACAGGAGGCTGGGGATCAGAGAGGCTAAGTGAGCGGCCTGGGGCCACACAGCGCCGACACCAGTTTCTTAGTCGGGCGCCCCCCGCGCGGTAGGGGCCCTGCGCTCTGGCTGGCGGTCGGCCGTGCCCTTCTCTGTACAGTGCAGCTCCCCCTGGCCTTGGTCTTGGGGCCTCCTGCCCTACTCACGCAATACCACTGACATCCCACACGCCAGGGCCCTTCTGCGGCTGAGGAGGGTCTTCCCTGACCCACCTGGCCCTTTTGCATCCCACCCTTTTTTAACACTTCGTTCTCCCTGCCTGGAACACTCCATCTCCTTATTTGTTGGCATTTTCTTGGTAGGCTGACTACTACGCATTGTATACCTCTTATTTTGGATGCCTCCTCCCCCAAGGAAGGCTTCCTGGGTCCCCCCAAGCACTGTCCAGCGCTCTTCCTCTGTGCCCCCAAAGCCCCCCACCCCTCTATCACGGTGTTCGCCATGCTGGGATATCAGAGTCACCTTCCTGTCTGCGCCCCCTCAGCCCCGAGCTCTCCAGGCCCAGCACGGGGCAGAGGCCCGCCTGAGGGCCCCCGGCTCAGCCGCAGAGCTGGGCTGCGCTCCCAGGGCTGGCGGCGGGGCGAGCAGGGACGGCAGACACACTCACCCCGAAAGCGTCGGCCAAGGCAGTGGCTCCGTCGTTCTCCAGGCGGTTTCTGCCAGCCACAAAGACCTTCAGGGCCAGCGGCTTGCCCTGAGCACTGGACTTTCGGTGACATTCAGTGAGAGCAGCCGCCAGGATCTGTGGGGACGAAGCGAGGGGCCCAGGCCTCGCTGGAAGCCCTTCCCCCAGCAGGGCAGCCAGGTGGCTAAACTGGTCTTCAATACCCCACGCCACCCAGCAGTGGTATGTGCAGGGACAAATAGCTGCCCAAAAGCTCAGCAGTCACCCCTCACACGTGCCCAGCACCCTCAAGTTTACAAAGAGCTTTTCTAGCTATTGCTTCAGGTGCAGGTCCTTCCACCCTGGAGCTTAGGCTCGTGTTAGAAACAAGTGACCAAGGCCAGAGGGAAGGAACAGACTGACACTGAATGGCCAACTTTAAACCCCTGGGAAAGGGTTGCATGATTACGCACTTGCTGTCAACAAGCCCTTGATCAGGTGGGGACCATCATGGGTCCCTTTCCAGCTGAAGTGGCTTAGGCTCAGGGAGAGGCAGAAACTTTCCTATGGCTGCCACGCTAGGGGCAGACTCTGGACCAGAACCTGAATCTTCCAGTGTTTCCTCCATGCTCCCCAGTATGTAAGGGGAGTGGGCTAAGGGGACCATGGCCCCACTGCACCCGTCTGACGCGCGCCGGTGTCCAGGCCGGCCACACAAAGCAGGGTCTCGGCTGCTGGGAGTCAAAGCCGAATGCCCAGTTTTCCCTCTCCTTGCGGTGCGGGCTGGAGGTAGCCTTAAAGCCTCCGTTCCTGGGCAGAGGTGAGGTGATGGATGGAAAGTGGAAGCATTTTACAAGGGCGTCTCTGGCTCCCCCACCACATCAGATACTCTAGGTGGGGCTGGGCCTGTCTTCTGTGCTGATTCACATTTGTTATGAATAACACAAACTTACCGTTATTCGTAACACACGAAGCTTCTTGCCCAGTTAAAGCTGAGGGGAGGGCTGGCTGAGACTGGCATGGGAGCGCAGCCCTCACTTTCCCCAGAGCGACAAGGGATGACAGTCACCTCCACAGGGGAGGCCACTCTGGCTCCTCAGCCAGGGGCACTGCAAGCGCCACACAGGCTCCTGCTGCTGTGCTGACAGGGCCACGTGGATGCAGGTTCAAATCCCACATCTGTCCCACAGGAGCTACATCACCCGGGGTACTCGACCCAAGGTCTCTAAGCCCAAGGCTATTTATCTGAAAAAATGGGGACAGCATCACCCACCTGTCGGTGCGCGTGGGAGATTTAAGGTTAGGAATATAACACATATTTAAAGAGATGTCCCTCCCAGTCGCTGTTAATTCCTGTGTCCCAGCCCTTTTCTACTTTTGGTTGGAATGTCAGGGGGAGGGGAGGTGGGAATCAGACTGGCATTCAGTCTTTCTAGAATCCGGGCCTACAGGAGCCAGAAAGGAGGAGGAAGAGAATAAACGGCCTGCTCCCTCGGAGCAGGTTCTGAGAGGAGGAGAGGAGCCTTCCCACACTGACCAGCCCGGCTGAGGCAGGGACAGAGGTGAGTTGCGCTGCCTCTTTCTGGGCTCCCTCCCTACACGCACAGCCAGGCCTTAAGTGGCTCTGCCAGCTGTTCCTAGGGCACAGCAGGTCTAGGGACACCCAAAGCCTGCATTTTGCAGAGCCAGCAGGTCAGTGCAATACTGCCTCTGTGTTGCCAAGGCAACACAAGAATCAAGATGGTTGCTTGGCAACCCCACCTTCATGAACTCTATCTCCTCTCCCCACTGGCCACACGCTGCCGCCTTCAAGGCCTTTCTCCTTTGAAGAAAAAAACAACAGGCCAAGCAACCCAGATGGTAGGTGGCCAGGGCACACACTTCAGATGGAAGCAACTGTGGTAGGGGACTGGGTGCAGGGGAGGGTGAAGGACCGCGGGGATGTGAAGGAGGGCGTCGTGCACCCACCTTGCCGCCCCCGATGCCCATGCCACAGTTGTTGAGCTTGAGCTCATGCAGCGTGAAGCAGGCGGAACTCTTCAGCAGGGCCTCGAAGCCTCGCACGCCGTCGGGCCCAAAAGCATTGTCACTGAGGTCCAGCTCCACCAGCTGGGCTCCGGCTGTGATGAGTCCCTCCCCTAGTGAGATCTGGGCACAGAAGGGACTCACGTTAGTGTCACAGCCAGCTGCCAGGTGCCGCTCCTGTGGCCAGGGCACTCGGGCTGGTAGGGAACGGGCAGAGACGCAGACCACTTCAGTACAGGGCTGCTAACTTATACACCCAGGGCTGGAAACCCTCCAGAGGCTCCCAATTCTGCTGGGGACTGGGGGCTTGGTATATGTAGCGTGGTCAGGGAAGGCTTCCTGTAGAAGGTGACATCTGCGCTCTATCTGGATGAGAATCAGCCGGCCAAACATGAGATTCCAGACAGCAGTAAAACATGAGCAGAGGAACATAAGCATAAAGTGGCATGCGTGTGCTGGAGGACCAGATGCGGCAAGAAGATGTGGAGCAATCCTGGGACCCTCTTGGGCCAGGGACAGCTGCAGTGCCCCAGGAGAGACGGGCGGAGAGGAGGCTCTGCCAGGGATGGCAGGCAGAAATGGGGCTGGGCACAGACTGGGGAGGTGGGGAGTAGGGGAGACACAGACCGGCCTGGCCAACGGGGTCCTTGTGCCCAGGGGAGAGGAAAGCAGCAACCGCATTCACTTACCAGGGCTGGCGGGATCTCAGACCGCAGCCGCCCCGTGAACATGTCGCTCCAGTGGCATCGCTTTGAAAGGAGGACGAGGAGAGTTAGCCGAGACCCTCGGAGGGAATCTGTCAGGAGCACCTCACCTCGTGGGCTTGAACTACTGAGCACTGTAAGACTTCTTAATTCGGGCTTTGTCAGCGAAAAGGCGGACGAGCTCTGGCCAAAGCCGGTGGGACCTGGAGGCTCAGGAGAAACGTCAGGAAAACCCCCACCTGTTCAACCGTCTGGTTTTCTGGGAGGGAAATCAGGGTGAGAGAGAAGAGATGCTCGGGGCTGCACAGCAGCCAAGCGCTCCTTTCCCATACCAGTGTCCCATGTGGTGTGGGGGGCAGCAACACGCGGCATGATTTTAGGCGGCGGAGGAACAGAAAGTAAACAACGTGCGATCCAGCAGCAAGGAAGCCACTCTTTTTTCAACTCCATTTTCAGCCGTCCTGTCCACCTCCAGAAGGCAACCGCACTTTGAGGCTGGCGGGTCCTGCCCACCTTCCTGCTTCTTATTTGTCTGCCTTTCGAGCAAAGGAAGAGCAGCCGCAGGCACAGGGCCCCAAGTGGCCGTGTGGGCTGGAACACCTTGTGAACTGTGTGCGTGAAGCCTCCCATTTATATTAAACAGAGGGGACTGGGTTTGCTTTTCCATTACTTCAAAGTGAGTTGATTTAAAGGAAATATTAGGTAAATGGTGGCCACAGAAGTGGAGGCCACAGTAGTAGGCTGTGCCCACTTGCCAGCACGGTTTAGGCACCGTGGGCGCACACAACCCTACCCTCCCACTCTGGCTGCTGTGTCCATCTAAAGTATCAACTCTGGCAGCTCTGGCCTGTCCTGGGCCAAACCTGGGACACGCGGAAGCACTTTCCCCTGAAAATCCAGCCTGTAAAGGGCACGAACTCAACCCAACGTTAAGTATGAGGGAAGCTGGTTTTTCTGTAAAAGGTAAAGCAAACCACTGGCACACCGGGGCCTCGGGGGACGCTCTACACGCGTCTGCTCGGTGAGCCACCCTGACGCACGGTGCTGAGGGCCCAGACAGACAGAACCGGAACCCAGGCCCTTGGACACTAAAGCTCAGCTTCTGTCGCCGCCAGGACAGACCACATCTTCCCTGCTCTTGCCCTGCAGAAGTCACAGGTCACCGGGAAGGGCTAACCTCTTTTGTAGGAAAAAGTTCCAGCTTCTGCTCCCGGAAAGGCCTGCCCGGGCAGGAGAGCAGAATTAGCCACTGCCCGGCTGTTAACCTGGCTGCGGTCTTCCTGAGGAGACAAACACTGAGGGCCACCTCCCACACTAGCCCCAGGCCCTTGCTGGGCAGATCCCCGCCTCCATTCTCTCCCATGGCCCCCAGCCCTGTACTGTTCCCCCTGCAGAAAGCACAGCCATGCCTCCAGAAGGAGCACTGGACTCAGGCGTGCGAACTACGGCTCGGCCGCTTGGCAGCAGTGGGAGCCTGGGCTAGTCACTCAGCCCCTCAGAGCCTCAGTTCCCATGACTTACAAAAGGGAGAGTCGTTACTAGATGGGTCACTGTGAGCACCGAGCGACCTGTGCAGGGGAGCCCAGCACAAGCTCGGCCTGGTATGACTTAAGAGAGCCACTTCCCGTCTGCAAAGCAGGGCTCCCTCTCCCCGGCCCCGTGACTCTTCCAGAGGCTCTGCTCTATCCCTGCACGCTGGGATGCCAGCAAGGCGTAGCATGCAGTGACGTCTCCCTGGCGTTTTGACCATGGTAACCCACTTTTCTCCGAGAGCATCTTGAAGCGCAGGCGTTCAGTGGAGCCCACTTTGGGAAAAGACAGGAGGGGCACCCCTTGGATCTACCCGAGAGCCTGCCATTCACCTGTGGGGAGTGGTCAGCTGGCCACCTCGGGCTGCAGGACACTCCCAATCAGCCCAGGCACTGAGCGAGGCCTCGCCATTTCTGCCCAACATGAGACTCCTCCATCAGGCCATCTTTGCTCTGGAGCGAAGGCAAGCTGAGCGTTTGCGAGAAGAGGGAGGTTCTCAGCCAAAGCTGTGCCCTCCCTCCTCACGGGTGCCACCTCCACGTCACAAGCCGAAGGCCCTCCCTGTCCCGTTCAGCTCCTCTCCCCTTTATCCTTCACATTTGTTGCCCAATAAGCCTGTTACACTCCTGATGCCATCTCCGTGCCCACTACTGGACGACCCAAATGGATGCCACGCAGGGAGGGGGATGCTGGCCACTGCTGGATGCTCTGGGGAAGCCAGAGGGACAGGGGCTGGTCATGGTGACCGCCACAACGGGAGGAACCCAGAAAGTCCTGTGGCTGTTTGAGCAGAAGCTGGCCCCAACCAGCCGGGGCCCTGTGCCCCGGGACATCTCACCTTCAACTCCGACTTCTTCTCCAAGGCTTTGGCGATGACCCTGGCCGCTTCCACACCCACCGTGTTGCCCTCCAGGCGCAGGGCCTCCAAGCCATCAAAGTCTTCAATCTCTTTAATCACATCCTTGGCTGCCCCGGACCAAAGAAGAGAACCTTAGACTTGCGAACAGCTGCGGCAGGAGAGCCCAGCCACTGCCCTATCGCTCACAGTGGCGCTGATGTACCTACCAGGTGCCAGGCCCTGGCTTACAAAGAAGACTCAGACGGGCTCACTGTCTAGCAGGGGACACGGCCACACAGACCATTTTTCTGTAACAAGTGTTAAAACAAGGCATGTGTAAAAGGTCTGGGAGGCAAGGGAAAGACAACGGGCTGCCTGGGGCAAAGAAGGTGCTTGGGACACCTTGTGGGTGGGCTGCATGGAGCCTCACAGGACAGGGAGGGCGCCAGGCCAAGTGGGCAAACAGCACCCAAGTCAGAGCGCCGGCAGGTACAATGGCACGGAGGCTTTCAAGCATTCAATTATTCATGCTTGGGTGTTCACTACTGTATTGTATTATGATGAAAAAGTCCAAACAGCCTAAATGGCCATCAACAGCAGACAGGTTGGTCCGTATAGTAATGGAGTATTACTATACTCCACTGGAGTATAGTAATGCTAGCGTCTTTATGAATGGTGACACAGGCGTTTGACTTAGGAACTATTCATGTTACAGTGGTAGGTAAAAAATGAGGGTATCTCATGCATTTTGTGTGATGACACTTAGAGAACGGTGCCTGTATGCTCTTTCTCTCTGCCCCCCATGACCCTGTGCCTGGCGCGCGCACACGCACACAACACGAGGTCCAGAAGGCAGGAGGATAGAGACCAAATGGCACACTGTCATCTCTAGGCGGTGGGATTATGAGTGACTCAGGTGATAAAGTAGGTTATAAAGTACTTGTAATATGATCCTAATTTTATTTTTCAAAAAAGAAAAAGAAAAAAGAACTCAGCTATGTTTAGGGGGGGAAAAAAAGACTAAAAATTGTACCAAAATTAACAGTAGTTATATCCCTGGGCTGTGTGATAATAAATTTATAGAATTTTTTTCCTTCTTCCATGTTTCTGTATTCTATAATGTGCATGGATTAACCTTATAATCTGAACAAAACACATGAGTTACATGAACCAGAACCACCCAGTCTGGCAGGCACAGGCTGGAGCGGGCTGCGGTGACGTGGTAGAGAAGGGATGGAGATACACGTGTATGGCAGATAAAAGGTGAACTTAACCTTCTAGGCTACAAAGTCCGCAGAGGGTCTTGAGAAAGGCTGTGACCTGCAACCTGGCAGGGCCCCCGAAGAAGCGAAGAAGCGTTCTGAGCGGGGCCTCTGCGCACCCCCGCCTCCCTGCACCCGCGACCGCCGCACCCCTTGCCAAGCTCCCAGCAGGGCCCCACCTTCCCAGGCGGCACAGCCCCAATCACTCCTGTGGAGCCTGCAATAATCTCACACCTGCCTAACAACTGCTTGACTGTCACGTGGTGGGTTTGTTAAACATTGTCCTCCCACCGGGTCATGAGCTACAAGAGGAGAGGGGCTCACACTGCCTCTGCTCACTACCAGCTACCACGTACGGATAAGCACCTAACGTGTATGCTTTACACGCACTGACTCACTGACTCATGCATTCCCCACACCATCTACGAGGTGCTTACTGTTGCATCTACGTTACAGCTGAGTGTCCTGAGACACACACGGGGGGAGTAAATGCCTATGGAGGTCACACAGCTAGAAAGCGGTGACCAGCCTTCACCTTCCATTTCTCTTTACAACAAGGAAGGCTGGGAAGGTAGGAGCCTCCCATGTTATAAAAGCAGAAACGGAGGTTTCGAGGAATGAAGTGACTCTGCCCAGCAGTTCAAGAACAGCAGAGCTGAACCTCAGGCTGCTTTTCCAAAACTGAACCCACACGCTGCTCCCCAAACCCTCGCTTCTGAGCTCAACCATGGCCTTTATGCAGCCCCCCGCCCCTGCAGAGAAGTCCCTTAATCCCTCCTTGCTACCGCCTCCTGGGTTCGCTCTAGAGCTGGCACCCCGTGCAAAGGCTGACAACCTCTCGGTCGTTTAGAAGACCTGTTCCAAAAGGGGCCCCCCCGCAACACCCAGGGACTGTCCGGTCAACGCGAGGAGAGGAGGGCTGCTCAAGGCATGCTTACGCGGGCCTTCAAAGGCGTGGGCACGCCACGGCCCCACGGGCAGACGACCCGTGCTGGACAAGCGACTTAAGTACAGGAATACCCAGCCACAGTGCTTTCCGCAAGCTCAGCCCTGGGGTGACTGGCTCACAAGCACAGACCACCCTTGGAAGGAAATGCACCAAAGTGGGAAGAGCAGGGAAAGCAGAGGGTGGCACCAGAGGTAAGCTGCTCTCTCACTTGGTTTTCAATCCAAATGGAATTATGCTTAACTTAAAAACAGGTTAGACCGGGGCCCCAACCATTCCCGAACACCCAAGTGCCACATGGCTGAGGAGCAGGGATTTCTCTTTTCTGCCTCTGCCCCCTCACAAAGTAACAAGTTCTAGGTGTTGGTCACTCGGCCATGTAAAGGAGAAAGGCCTTTCTTTGCTCTTTAAATGACCTCCCAGGGAGAAAAGGGCCTTGTTCCATCCACTGCTTTGCCCGCCCCGACCACGCTGGCTCACTCCCAGCCAAGACAGAGTCCTTTCTGAGCCTTAATTTTCCAATCTGCAAAATGGAGGTGAAACCCACCACAAGGGCTTTTGTGAGAATAACCGGAGATACTGTTTGTGCGGCACTTAAAACTCTTCCTGACACGGTGTTCAGTGAGTAGCGTTTAACGGCAAACCCACGTTTACTGCACGAGCTGAATGTCTGCTGAGGACAGGAACAAGGATGCGGCTGGACCTCTGTTAAGACCCTGGCTTGGCTACTTATCAGCTGGATGACATTGGGCGAGTTATTTAAGTTACCCAAGTCTTTTTCCTTATGTCTAAAATAGCAACACGTGTACCTTAGGGATGATGTAAGAATCAAAAGTAAGAAAAGCACAGGGAGGAACTCGGTCAATTTCCCGACCCTGTGAGAGATGTTAGGAATGTGCATCACCATGCTCCCAGCAAGCCAAGGACTCAGGCAGCCTCTGGCCCAGCAGAGGGCAGCGAGCCTGCTCACACAGCAGGACAACCAGGCAAGCCCAGACCAGTTTGCCTGGTTGGACCAAAACCTTGAGGCCTTACAAGTACCGATACAGGTGCCTTCAATCCCAGAAGCCAGGGCATCCAGGGTCGGTCAGTGCCAGCCATGCCTTGGCCAGGAATGGAAAGAAAGAGTTTGCGTTCTGACTGCTAGTTCTCCCCGGTCCCAGTGCCTGTACACAGACAGGAACGTCCGCCCCGCAGGTGGATTCAGCTGCAGGACCAGACCTCCTGAGGGGGCCTGGACTGTTGTCTTAACTCAGCTCCATAAAGGCTTCAGCTCTGGGGAAGGCCACAGATCCGCTGGGGATCACGGGGGTGGAGGTGGGGGTGGGTCAAGGACTGCTGCTAACGGTGGTCCCTCACCGCCTCTGTCCCCTCCAAGAGACAAAGGGGCCCTTCCCACCTGCCGGCCTGAGCTGTCAGGGCAGAAATGCCCACCGCAAACGTGAAGACCGGCTGGGAAGCCTCTGTATGCTCAAGGGCAAACCATCTCTGAGCCTCACTGTTAAATGGGCCCAATGATGGGTACCTCACGGAGCTGCCAGAACAAAATGTGATAGACAATGAAGTGAAACGAGCCTGTCGACAGTCAGGGGAAGGGCTCATCCCCACACTCTCGTGCCTCCCTTGGGTCCGCCCATGCAGGAACTCACCGTCTTCTGCAGTGTTGAGCTTGAGGCTCTTGCCCTTGAAACTCAGCTGTCCCCCAGCCACCTGGGTTTTGGCTAGTGTCTCTGCCAACTTGGCAATGTCTTCAGAGGCCATGCTGGACACGTTGGTAGGCTCCCCTGGAAATCTGTGAACTGAGGTGGTCAGAATTTCATTAAGAGAGCTAAGGCTCGGCCCTGGCAGGGTAGCTCTGTTGGTTATACGTGAAGGTTGCAGGTTCAATCACCCATCAGGGAACATACAAGAATCAACCAATGAATGCATAAATAAGTGAAACAACAAATCATTTTGCTTTCTCTCTAAAATTCGGTAAGTAAATAAATTTTAAAAGAGAGTGCCCTGGTTGGTATGCCTCAGTGGACTGAGCACCGGGCTGCGAAGCACGGGGTTGCTGGTTCAATTCCCAGTCAAGGAGTATGCCTGGGTTGCAGGCCAGATCCCCAGTGGGGAGTGCTTGAGAGGCAGCCACACATTGATGCTTCTGTCCCTCTTTTCTTCCCTTCCTTCCCCTCTCTATAAATAAATAAATAAATAAATAAATAAATAAATAAATAAATAAATAAATGTTTTAAAGAGAGAGAGAGAGAGAGAGAGAGAGGAGTGGAGTTGGGGAAGGCTCCTGGGGTCCTCAGTTGGGGAGAGCAGGGTAGGCCTGAGTCCACCTTCCCAATAGCTAAACCACTGGGAGAAATGAAAACAGTAAATTAGGAAAGGAATAATTCTAGGAAGGTGGATGAGGTGGCAAGAAAACAGAAAAATCATGTTTTGCCTCTGAAGAATTATCATTCCACTACAAGTCCTCCTCTGCCCAACTGCCCCAGCTGGGACACCTAGCAAAGCCATGTGAGTTGCCCTGTTCCTGGGCTCCCAGTGAGTGACAGTTAGTTAGGTCCCAGTCCCGTTACTGCAAAGAGTCTGCCCCAAGCAAGCACCTGCCGGATCATCTTGGCTACTTCCTGTTTGAGGGTCCCATTCCTCAAACAAGACATAGATGGCTATGGGATCCAGGTCATCTGTCCCAGAGAATGCCCCTCCACCCACGCTGGCATGACCCTGGGGCTGGGGCGTAGGAGCCAGCCCACTGCACATCTGGTTTCACCCTCGGCCAGCAGAGTAGGGAGCTCACGGTGGTCAGGCCTCAGGGGTTCCTAGGAGACCAGAGGTCTCTACATCACAATAGCCACCAACACAACAGAGTAGGGGCAGAGCTGCTGGAAAAAGGAGCTTCCAGTCTGCTCAGCAAACTCAGATAGGACTGTTCCACTCTCCCAAGAGGAAATAGCAGGTAATCAGGCGAGACCAGGGAAGAATGATTTGGTGGCGAGAACGAGAATTTGCCCACAGAGACTCCTTCCACTCAGACTGCTTCCTCCCCCAATCCACTCAGCCTCAAGATACAGCTGTGAGAATTTCCCATCCTCCCACTCCCCTAGGCTTCCTCTGGGCCTTAAGAGCCAACTTCCCACCCTCTTCTTCTTTTCTTAAGCCTTATCACCCTGGTGTGTCTGTCTTTATCAATAAGCACAAATTACTCTTCTGGGTAAGGAGGCATCCAATCACTCATTCAACATTTATGAGTCCTACTGTGTGCTAGACATTGTTGCAGGTACCAGGAGTGCAGCAGGAATGAGAAAACAAAAACCCTGCCCCCTATAAACATATGTTCTAAACAAAATACTGAGTATCTTAAATAAGATACTCAGTATCTGATATGAAAAACAAACAGGGAAGGTGGCAGGTAAGGAATTTTTTTTGGGGGGGGGGTGCAATTTCAAGTAGAATGGTTAGAGAAGGTGTTACTAGGGAAAAAACAGACATGAAGGATATCCCAGATTGAGCCATGCAGATACCTGGAGGGAGAACATTCTTGCAAATGCAACTACCTGCTCTTGTAGGGGGAGGAACTTCAAGGAGGCCAGTGGGCTGGAGCAGACAAGACAGGAAGGGAGAAAAGAGGTAAGAAATGAGAAAAGAGAATGAACAAAAGGCTCAAATCACAAAGGTCATTTTAAGAACTGTGGCTTTTATTCTGAGTGACAAGGAGAGCCACTGGAATGTTTCTAGCAGAGGGGAGAGGTGATATGACACGTTTCAACAGGATCAATCCATCTGCCACATACGGCCTGGCTTTTAAAAGGTGCTTCAAAGACAGGATGAAACGGAATACAAATTAGCCTGAAACTCCACTACTTCTTGCAGTTCTGGAAGGGAACAATCTGAGAATAGAAAAACGGTGTGCGTGGGGCGTGGGGTCCAAAAGGAAGAGGCACACAAAATCTATCAGCTGTAGGAGAGCCCATCCTTCAGTCTAGTGTACACACGCGATCCACTAGACTCAGCAGAGAGGTGAATTCGTTTGTCCAAAGTCTGCAAAGGAGCAGTGGCAGAGCAAAGACAAACGGTAAACACAGAAAACAGTCCTCTCGCTTCTCGGCATGAACCTCACACTTTCTTAGATGCACATCCATCGCTCCTGGGAAGCGTTAGCAATGAGTCACGCCGATTCTCTCCCGAGGGCTGCGGCGCTAGCCCAGGCCCTCGGCGGGTGTGGGCCTATTGGGAGGCGGCGGCAAGGGAGACGCGAGCGAGTGCCAGCCGCAAATGACAGGCGGGCAGCGAGGGAGCCCCACCCGGGTCCCTGGACGACGCGCACCGCCCCCAGCTGACACCTACGCTAACAGGAGACGCCACTGTTGGCAGCGGTGTGCTGCGCGACCAGGAGAGCCAGACACCCTCTCTAAGCCTCAGTTTCCCCGCTTGGGAAAGGAGCCAGCACCCCCACTGCCACCCTCTCCGCGCTTAGCAGTAGAAGGCGCAGGGAAAATGCTCTGTGGGCGCCACACCTTCCACTCCCAGTTCCAGGGCCGCCCCGCCCCCGCCCCCGCCCCCGCCCCCGCCCCCATCCCTTGCAGGTGACGGGGAAAGGAAAGGGACCCCCTACCCTACCGTAAACAGACGGCGCCGCCGCGTGGGGAGCCCCGAGCAGGCGCGTACTCCCGCCGGGATGAGGACTGACTAAGGGTCCGGGTCAGGTCAGGTCGGAGTCGCCGCCTCCGAGCCCAGCGGTCCCGATGCCCAGCTCGCCTGTCCGTCCGATCTCCCCACTCGCAACACCACCTGCTCTCCGCACGGCTGAGAATGATGGCGGAGGAGGAGGATTTTGAAAGCCGGCAGTTTCTTTCCTTCGATCTGATTTGTTCCAGGCCCAGGCGGCCTCCCCGGCCCCCGCGCGCGCGGCCTCTCGGGTATGGTAGTCCGGTGCTCCCGTGCGGGGCGCGGCGGGGAGCCGCCGCGAACTACCTTCCCGTGATTCAACGCGCCCAGAGCGGGCCGTCGGGCCCCTCTTCGCCCTCCCTTTTCAACTTCTGGCTCTTTCTCTGGGAGACCACAGGGCGGCATTTTGTCGTGAGCGCCCAGGAAGACTACAATTCCCTTAATGCCTTGCGGTCTTCCACATCCCAGCCCTTCCGGAAAGGTGTGCTTTCACCTAACTTTATTGACAAAAGCTGGTATAGCCCTAGGCACGCTGTTGGATCTGTCCAGCAAGAAATAGGTATTTCCTCAAAGGAAAGCCTCGCCTTTTTTTGACTCATGAAATTGAATGGACATTAGAAGCTTCCCATAGCCGCAAATTACGTGATAATTAAAAAGGGGAAATAGCAACCCTATAGGAGAGACATTCTGTGACAGCACCTTACCCCAATTGGTCCTTATGAATATCAGTAAGAGGAGAAGCTGACATCCATCGCACACCTCCAGAGGTGATGCACTGAGGACACAGCATCACCATCCAATGGTCAATGCATACAATTAATCTAATAACGAGGAAACAACAGGCAAGCCGAAACATGTTACAGAATGACTGGTCTGTACTCTTCCAAACACGTCTGTCATGAAAGACAAAGAAAATTGAGGGCCTGTTGCAGATTGAGGAAGGCTAAACTGACAGGAAAACCAAATACAGTACCTGATCCTGGACTGAATCTTGGAATGGGGGGAAATTACTATAAAGGGCAATATTGAGACAATTAGCAAAACTTGACTGTATATTAGATAATAGTTTGTATCAACATTACATGTATTCACTTTTATTACTATACTGGGTTATGTAAGAGATCGCCCTTATTCTTAGAAAATATATGCTGAAATTATTAGGAGCATGAGGTCTCCAACTTCAAGCATTCCTATGAAACCTATAAATGCCAATGGTGTAAAACAAAGAAGCAATTACCATAACTTACAAGGAAAATTTTTTTGAGAGTTCCCAGGCTCAAAAAATAACCTGCCAAATCATATCAGCCCTGGGTAGCTCAGGTGGTTAGAGTGTCATCCCGATAAGCCAAGGTTACAGGTTCCATCCCTTATCAGGGCCTATACAAGAATCAACCAGTGAGTACATGAGTAAGTGGAACAACAAATTGGCCTCTCTTTCTCAAATCAATAAATAAAAATGATTTTTAAAAATCAAATAACATAAAATCTAAAATAACATAAACATGTACTAAAAGCAGATATGGTATGATACACAGCCTATGTGAAGTAGAAATAATATACATGTGTACAGTGTCGTTTCCCTTACTAGTGTGCGCTGCCCATATAACAGCTTACTGTAAACCCTACAGATGCTAAAGCTATTTTTGCTCATTTCCTAAAAAGTGAAAATCCTCTTCTGATTTCTTTCAGTTATGGAAAACAGGTAGTCATCTCTTGGTATCCATGGGGGATTGGTTCCAGGAAACCTGGCACTGAAATCTGTGGATGTTCAAGTCCCTTATAAAATTGCATAGTATTTGCATATAACCTAGGCACATCCTCCCGTATACTTTAATCATCTCTAGATTACTTATAATACTTAATACAATGTAATTGTTATGTAAAAAGTTGTTATACTGTATTCTTTAGGAAATAATGACAAAAAAGTCTACCTGTTTGGTGCAGATATAACCATTGTAGGCCTAACTATACAGTACAACAATATAACATTTTTTTCAAATATTTTTTGTCTCGATTGGTTGAATCTGAGGATGCAGAACCCGAAGGTACAGAGAGTTGACTCTACAGATGTATGTCTTCCATAAAAAAAAAGTGGCATAGTGAACTTTCAAAAAGCAGGGGGATACCTATATGTATAGAGAGAGAGTGCAAATGCGGCGAAATGTTAACAGTAAGTGAATATGGGAGGTCTTTGAACATTTTGGCCATTCTTTAGGTTTGAATTTTCTAAAGTATCAGGACACAAGTTGCTTTTCTGTTCTTTCTTTTTTCAAACAAAAACTTTTAAAATTTTTTAAAATTTATTTTTAGAGAGAGAGAAACATTGATACATCCATGAGAGATACGTCAGCTCATTGGCTCTTGCACATCCCTAGTGGAAACCTGGCCCATAACCCAGGCATGTACCCTGACCTGTAATCAAACTAGCAATCCTTTAGTTCACAGGCTGGTGCTCAATCCACCAAGCCACACCAGCCAGGCTGCAAAAAGCTCTCTTCAACAATTACCTAAATAAAAAATGTTCATCATAAACACTTCAACTAATTTAGAAGAGGATCAAGAGAAAAGTAAACATCACCCCAGAAACTCTATCCCCCAGAGATAATCACTGTCACTATATGCAGCTGCCCTTTCCAAAGTTACTTCTCACAACTTGGCCCACACCCGTACTTGTGCTCTACCTGTGATTCGGGGTTACAAACAGGGTCGGGTAACAGTAGGCTTACAGTGTGAGTATGCAACACACAGTTTGTCCTTGTATTATTATTTATTAATTATTGTATTATTTATTTGTATCACAACTGTAAACCTTCTTTTGCCCCACCCCGTATATCATGAGCCAGGCCCTTTAACACACAGCTAACTGAATCTTTATAACCGCTAAGGAGGCGGGCCTCAGGACGACCCTTCCCAGTACGAAGATGAGAAAACCGAAGTTCCAGCCTAGTTCACACAGCTCCTCAGATGGGGGTCATCTTTGCATCCTCTTTCTCGTTCTCTGCGCACAAGGCCCATAGCAAATGCCTCCTCCCTCAGGAGGCTTTCCGACACCACCCTAGCCAGGACACTTTCCTCCTGGCCCCCACAGTGAGCCGGATGCCCCCATAACAGTTAGTCTGTGGGCTTCTTCACAGTCAGAGTCAGTAGTGTTCGGGGCAGCTTCTTCCTCAACCTGGGAGCGCGCCTGGGACAGGTACTCAGCATCTGCTGGGGCCCGGTGCTTCAGGTCTCCTCATTTGAACTGGATTCCAGCCAGAGTCACTGAATGTTTGCTTAAAATGAATCATCATCTGAGAAGTCTGAGATGCCCCCAATTAGGCCTGCTATACTGCCTGAGCTTATTCCAGCTAGGATCAGTCAAATCAGTCTGGGGGTGTCCGGGGCTCCCCAGGCTTCCTGGACCAGTTTGCTTTACTTCCTGAGGCTTTCCTGGTCCTCTGACACAGACTGCCCAGAAAGAAGAAGGTGGGCGGTAGAACATCTTAGGCAGCCTTCCCTTTCTTCATCTAGTTGATGGATCAGGGGTTTCAGAACTGGACGGTGCCCTGGCCAGGTAACTCATTTACTCACAGCATCATCCCAAGTTGCCAAGGTTGTGAGTTTGATCCCCAGTCAGATCACAGACAAGAACCAACCAGTGAATGTATAATTAAGTAGAACAACAAATTGATCTCTCTCTCTCTCTCTCCTCATCTCTCTCCCCACCTTTCCTCTCTCTCAAAAATCAATAAATTAAAATGAGAGAGAGAGAAAGAGAAGAAAGAATGAACTGGAAGGGAATTCTTAGCAGAAACTCAACAGACTTCAAAGGCCAGGGAGGTCATGGGAGGTCATGGGAGGTCACGGGGGCTTGTGGAGAGCTTGAGAGTAATGTTCTGCTTGAAAGTGCTCACGTTCTAAGCTAAAAATCACACACCCAGCCTGGTAGCGCCCCTTAGCAATCTAGATTCTGTTTGTTACTCCCAAATCTAGACCGTACCTCAAACTCCTTTAAAATGGAGAGGGGGCGGGGGGATGTTTAAAAAGAGAGGAAGGAGGTTTGCCCCAGGGGTACATAGTGAGTCAGAAGAGTCCAGGACCAATGTTTCCAAGCAACCCATTTTTCATCTTCTCTCTGGCCTTCCTGTTCTCCAGCTCTCTCTCTCTCTTTTGTCATATGAGAGCACAGACAGAGAAAGCCATCTCAGGCCACCCCCTTCCTCTTCTCAACGGAGGAAGACCTGCAGCCAAAGAGGTCAAATAACCTGCCCCGATTACACGGAAATTTAAAAAAGACATAGTAGAAGCTAGGTCTCTAGGCCTCTTTTCAACACACACACACACACACACACACACACACAACAAGTCACTTTGCAAGTGAGAATAAGGGCAAGAATAAGAGGAGGGGGAACGTTCCAGACCTTTCTCTCTCTGTCTTGCAGTGCACTTTGTTTTGCTTTGTTTTTTAGTGTCTTGAAGGGGAAAACAGGCAGCCTCTGATTAGTTTGGTTTCCTTTAACTGAGTATTTTAAATTCCATTCTGGTGCCTAAAAACAAACTTAATTTCCAATTGTAAATGGCATAAATAATATTTATGCTGGTTTTCTAAAGAGCTACCAAGACTGCAGACTTGCCATGTAATCACATCAAAACCAAATGCCTTAAGCGTGCCAGACAGTGAGAGGAATGCGGAGAGTCATTCTTAAGATCCAAACGAGTGCGAGTGCTGCCCTTGGCCCCCTGGAGAGAGATGTGCAGGCCTGGCCCCCTGCTGGGAGCCTGCCCCCTCAGCGCCCAGCTCCTGGGGGCAGGGGGTCCCTACATCATCTATGAAAGACAACTCAAACCACACCCCCACCCCAGGTTCGAGGTAGGGATCTCCACCAGAACATACTCTTTTTTTGTTAACCTCAATAAACAACCACAATTAAAAGAATTCATTAACTCTATAAATAGTTATCGAGCACCTACTCTGTACCAGGCTCCTGAGAATCCAGTGATAAATGAGAAAGAGAAGGATGGCATCTGCAGAGGAGCCCAAATTCATGGCTAACATTTGTGACGGGTTCCCTAGTACCAGATGCTTTGGGTAGATTGTTTTCTTTTTCAATATCATGTTCCAAAATGGCAATGATTTTTATTTTAAAAAGAAAACTGGTGGTAATTTTAAA